GACTAAACCGACCACGTCATCGCTTGCACCTACTACGACCAAATCTGTATCGTCAACTCCTGCACCTGCCACCACTAAGCCTACGTCGTCAACTCCATCACCCAGCACTACCCAGCCATCCTCGACTACCCACAAGCCAACAAAACCAGTACAGCCAACGTTCACACCACCTACCACCACGAAGCCTACGTCTGCCACACCTGCGCCTGCTACGACTAAACCGACCACGTCATCGCTTGCACCTACTACGACCAAATCTGTATCGTCAACTCCTGCACCTGCCACCACTAAGCCTACGTCGTCAACTCCATCACCCAGCACTACCCAGCCATCTTCGACTACCCACAAGCCAACAAAACCAGTACAGCCAACGTTCACACCACCTACCACCACGAAGCCTACGTCTGCCACACCTGCGCCTGCTACGACTAAACCGACCACGTCATCGCTTGCACCTACTACGACCAAATCTGCATCCTCAACTCCCGCACCTGCCACCACTAAGCCTACGTCGTCAACTACATCACCCAGCACCACCCAGCCAATCTCCTCGTCCCCCAAGCCTCCCACCACCAAGCCAGTTGCCTCAACTCCTGCACCCAGTACTCCCAAACTTGGCACTACTACGGCAGCACCATACAACCCCTACACCACCATCAAGCCAGTTACTCCTGCACCTAGTACCACGTCCGCCCCTCTGTCGCAGTTAGCCACGTGCCGCTGCACTACCGGCGACTGCCCTGCCTCTGGCGTGTGCTCCAATTGTGCAGTTGCGTTGGGGTATGGCACTACCTCGTGCCTGGTTGGGTGGACAGAAGCCAACTGCCGCACACAACAAGCTGGACCAGTGTACACGTGGTGCGGCCCGTCGTCGGTGTAATCCCTTGTTTGCATATACATACAGACAGTACTACTACTGTGCATGTCCTTGATAATCAATTTTGTTTTCATGGTATTCCCAATGTTGTTCTCCACTACTACTTTAGATCATTCAAATCGCAATCGACCAATCAAAAATGGCGCTTCTATAATGCTTTGACTATGTACATATGTACTTTATAGTCTAGACAATGAGTACTATTATGTAGTAATACATACAGTGCTTTAATCCACACAATGAGTAGTAGTACCCAAAACGACCAGTTTGTGCCGATAGGTGTGCTATATATATATATATATATATGGTCATGAACAGAAGGATGACGCAAATACATAG